ACACTTAAGTTTTGCACAAAAACACATTTATACAGTCCAAGCATAAACACAATCACACATATATACATGCCAAACACATATATACAAGCAGTCAGTCAGGTACGGCCAAAGCACGTACGTACACAAAAGATCCACCTAAGGATAGGCCTATCAAAAGAGATTTACACATAGCTAACTCTACATCCAAAACGGTTAGCTAAGGCACTATCCCTATCCCTATATACATACAAGAGCCACCACTAGCCAAAAGAAGCCTCTAAGATCAAGGCCTAATCAGTCGCCGGGGTCTGAGACCCAGGCGATGGGGTAGACTCCTCCCCAGCCTCGGCCCCAGCATACGAGGCCTCGTCACTAGACTCCTCGAGTCCGTCGTCGCATAGGTTAAGGATCGCCTCAGCACGACCCCTGACCTTACGAGCTCGCTTAGTCTCGCGCTCGCGTGCATCTCTCAACTGATCACATAGATCATCAACTCTTTCCTCGACCTCTTGCACGTCATATTCTAGCTCTTTAATACGCGAGGCTTGCTTCTCATTGGTCGCCTTAGCCTGAGTCACCTCAGCTTCCAATGCAGCAACCACAGCTTCAAGCTTAGTATTTTCCTTAGCAAACTCCTCGCGTTCCTTTGCCACCGACAAAACTAGTGTATTTGGGTAGGCAAAATTGCTACGACACCCACACTGTCGAACGCGGCTGGCCGGGCTCCAACGGACCACGGCCCCCTTCTGCCTAAGTTGATACTTAATCGGCGGCAACGTGCTATGAGGACGATCTCCTGCCGGACGGTCACTCGGGTCACCACTGGCATCCATCCTATAGCAAAGGAATAAACAACATGAATAACCTTAAAAACCATAATCAATAAAACCCTCAAGTCGAGCACTTCTATTACACCCAGGCTAATTCAAACCTGGCTCTGATACCACCTGTGACAGCCCCACCTTCCCCTAAGGCGAACCAAAGGGGTTGGCGGACTGCCTGCCCAGCTCTCGCCAGGACTAACGGTACGGTTTACGTCAATCTAAAACGTTCCGGAACATACCATTGCGCGCAAACAAGTCAAAACACAAAATAACATAAAATAAAATAAAACGAAAACCGAAGCCGAAATTTATCTAAACCATAGCCAAGCATATATATACAATGGAAATCAACATTTACAACCATAATGGCATGCCAAAACTATTCATTAAGGAGTACACATTCGATTTGCCTATCAAAAGGAAATGAACCCGTTACACATTAGGGTTTCACTTCAAGAGCTATACAAAAGACATTTACAAGCTCAGTATGGCAATTGACTATCCAGTCCATTTTCAAAAGCAATTATATCCCTGTAAGGAAAACAAATAACACGGAATGAGCCAAAGCCCAGTGGTATACCATCCAATAAGCAATCAAAGTCATATAAGAATGAACCTTCATTTAAAGTGCACAAATAAGTAATGAAGCAAAACGGTAAAAGGATACGGTCGGCTCTCAAGAGCCCAATTCCACGCTTGTAATCTTGATCCAACCCCATTGACCCTCCGTCAATGTTAAAAGTACCAAACCGTAGACCACACTTTACTCCCATTCCTTCCACCTATCATACCCCAACCGGGCCCGCACTCCATTCAGTAATAGTTTTGGTAATACTCGAGTTTACCGGAACCAAGGGTCTCATTACCACAAGGTTCCCCAGTACAGTCCCCGTGGCATGATAATTTTCACGACCAAGTCCTCGCCGGCTCGATCCAATTAACTACCATACGGGGTTGAGCTCATAAATGCAGTAAAGCCATTGGATACTCGTCCAATGACACCAAATCAGTTTCCATGAATGGAATGCAGTATTTCATATATCCAGTGCAGTATTTCAGTAAAACAATCAATAGCCACGAATAAAGTCATGAGGGGTGAGGGCGATCAAGTACACCCTCACCTCAATCATTTCCAATAACCAAATAAGCCTTCAAGGCATCAAATACACATAGCACAAAGCCACATTATAACAAGTAAGTGAGTAGTATACTCACCAAGCAAGTAAGTGGTATTTCATGTACCACGATCACCAAGCCGTCGTGCACTACCTTCACGCCCTAGAATCATGCAACACATACAATAAGACTCCATGCCGAGCCATAAACAACACCAATTCACAACCCCAATAGGGTTCTATAAACATATACAAGCATGATAGCAAACCAGAAATTAAGAAAGGGCTTTAGTCTTGGCCCCAAATAGAAAACTGTTTTACACTCATTATGCGGTAATGGTACAACTCTCACTACAAATATCAGTTGGGGGTGTAAGACCCACCGTTTCGAAGCTATGGAACAGGGCTACAATAATATAGAAGACCACTCAATCCAGTTCCTAGCTTAACTAGGTCGAAAATGCCAAATACTAACCCAGAATTCCTAAAACAGGTTCGCAAAACACAAAAAACTGTAATCAGTATATCTCAGTCCATACAAGTCCAAATGCCGAAATTCCAAAGGCATATATTAGCTAAGACACTCAGCTACATTTCATCAGAAGACACAAACTCCAAAATCCAAACCAATTCCAGTCAAAATGGCCAATTACTATCGCAGTTTTCGCATTCTGCTCAAAGCAGAACAGCTACAGTAATTTCGTCATAACTCATTCTACATTAATCCGAATGACCTGAAATTTTACAGGCACATCAACCTCATCAATACCTACAACTTTCATGTTTTGAGCAAAGTCAAATTCGGCCTCTAACACAGTGATCTAAAACCGGACAGAATTGGGGCTTCAAGAACCCTAACTTTTCAAATTTCACACCAAATCCAAAATTGATTGCATTTAACCACAATTCACACTCACTAGAGTCATTTCCAACCATTACAATTCATCATACAAGCCCCCAACATCAAGATCATATTAAACCAGAAAAAAATCCCAATAAAATAAAAACTTCACCAAAACTCTTCAAATCAAGAAATAAATCACATTTTCACACACTCATGCCACTTCTAAGCATCATATAACCATCATTAAAGGTAGTAGGGTGTTTCAAGCTTCACTTACCAAGAAACAAGAGAGAGGATGATGTGGAGCACCTTAGGCCTTCAAACAAATCTCACCAAACTACTTACTAACACTAGAAGGAAAGTTTTTATGGAGTGAAATCAACTCTAGGCTTTGGTTTGTGGTAGATTGGACCAAGTGGAAGCTTGCAAAATGGAGAAGTTCCCTTCCTTCTTGAGCTAAGGAGAGCCGGCCAACAAGAGAAGAAAAATGATGATTTTTGGTGAATTTTTGGATATTTATTTAGTTGGGTCAAAAGTCAAAAAAATGTCAAAAGGTGAATAGTGATTCATAAAAGGTATCCAATAAGAAAGTGACATGTGTCACCCTATTAAATGCAATCTTATCATTCTTTTCTCTCTCACATCAATCACTTCACACACACTACTTATCACTTAACACCCGATAAATTTTACACAGTATTCGAAACTTAACCTTATTGGCCGAATTTTTCCGAACTTATCGCACTAGTGGGTCCCACGTCCACTATTTACTCTTAATTTTCAAAAATCTCTCCAATGCTAGAAAAATCATCTTAAAACTATAACTGCTCATAAAATCCTCTCAAAAAAATATTTCTAAGCCAGAAAATGCAAAATTATGCAATTAAAGGAGAAATAACCGTAGGAAAAATATTAGGGTTTTACGGGCTCTCACACAATCAAATACCACATAAAGGATAGAAACACATAGAACATATATTCATATAACACAGAGCAGTTATACAGTAGTTCAGTCAAACAGGTACAAAAAAATCCCCTCAAACAAAGCCGGATTTTCCAAAAGTCACTATACACCCTAGGAAAAGGCCAAACAGATAACAACGACCTATCTTCCCAGGTCCCCTACACCCAGGGTCAAAACACGGCTCAAGGAACTTAACCTAGTTCCCAACTGAGCCTACGGATTCACCCCCATGACTAGGACTGGGCGTGACTCCTTCTCCAGGTGCCCCAACACCCGAAGCCTCCACTACATGCAACTGCTCTCGAAGAGCATTCACTCGCTCTTGCTCCATGACTAAATCGTCTTGGAGCTCCGCAATTCGGTCGGCTTGCATCCTAAGGACGCCTCTCAGTCTAAGGATCTCAGTGTGATCCTGGGCAGCCGCGCATCGAAGCCTCCTTCTCTCCTGAAGCACCACCACGACCACATGATCGGCATAGGAGTACCTCTGACAACGAACACAACTTCGGGTGCGGCTTGCGGTATACCATAACCGAATCGAACCTCCAGGTCTCTCCTAGTAGTCGATAAAATGATATCGTCTTTGCGGCAGCTCACCTCTGCTCCCACTAGCTCCGTCCAAACCTATAAGAGAGTCATGAGTGATCACTCAAACAATACAATAGAACTAACGCATTTTCTAACACAATATTCACCAAATCTCAAAATCAAGTCCGAATTTGCCCAGATTAACTCAAACCTGGGCTCTGATACCAACTGTGACAGCCCCATCTCTCTCTAAAGCGAACCAAAGGGTTCGACGGACCGCCTGCTCAGCTCTCACCAAGACTACGGATCCAGAACGTACAAAACACCCCTTTTTGTTCGAGGGGAAAAATTCAAAAAACTAGCGATCAACACGTATGAAGTCATTCCTCTCCAATAAATATCACTACTTAAGGCATCGACTACCACGTTTGCCTTCCCTGGATGGTAGTTGATTGTGCAATCGTAATCTTCCAGAAATTCCATCCACTGTCGTTGCCTCATGTTCAATTCCTTCTGTGAGAAGAGGTACCTAAGTGCGACGATCCCACCTCCCCCTAAGGCGAATCAAAGGGCTCGGCGGACCGCCTGCCCAGCTCTCGCCGGGACTCAGTCGTTCGCTTCAGTTCTCAATTGAAGTACAATATAAATCTCAAATATTACATCCAAAGATCTGTAAATCTAATTGTACTTCAAACTAAACCACAAGAGATACAAACAATACCAATTTTCCGAATAAGACAAAGGCCCTCAATTCTCACATAAGTACAAGTACAAATCATCCTAATCGAGTGATAGCGCGAGTATAAGTCAAAATTCAAAATAGCTAGACTACGCTAGTTTGTACACGTCACACGCCTTGCTCGTACCCCTGTAAGGAAAACAAAACTAATGGAGTGAGCTAAAGCTCAGTGATGTTCCAAATATCAAATTGTCCATCAAATAAAGTAAAAGTAGCATGATAGTGAAATAGCGGGCAAAACAAGTCAAGAATGAAGTAATAACACTTCATATAGTCAAAGAATAAATATTCCGCATTTCACATGTAAGGATATAGTTGCTCCTATATTAGCTCCACCATAGCTTGATCGATTAGTAGTTGACACTCCGTCAACTTTCAAGTGAGAAACTAGTCCAGTAGAACACCACTTAACTCCAATCTCCATCCACCGATCAAACCCCCTACCGGGCCCGAACTCCACAATAAACACTGGTGGTAATACTCGAGTATACCGATTTGTCGAGGAGATAACACTCCACTCGATATCACTAACTACCCAGGGTTCGTTATCTAATCGACTAGGCCCTTGCCGGCTCGACTCGACTAACTAGCCACATGGTTTCTGGAATTCCAGGCAAGATACAATTCATATGCATGTATAGCAAGTTAATTGCAATCGATGAACAAGAACAAATCACATTAGGGCAAGTGCGATAAAGTACACTCTTGCCCTATTAATTCACTTCTATATCATGTGATTACATTGGTCAAGTATTAAACACAAATGTCAAGTTCAATCGGATATTTGGAAGCACTCACCAAAGATGTAGTGCTTTTACAGATCACGCTCAGGTAGTACTCCTGATTTGGAGTCCAAATCTGCGATAAAACATCGTTTAAGAGCTTTGAAAATCGACAAAAGTTCAAAACTTAAACGTTTCGTTTAACGAGAATCACGTAATTAAAACTTATTTGGAAAATATCTGTAAACTCATACTCGCACTTAAAACATTGAAACTTTAAAGTGATTAACCTTGAAATCTCCGTTTGAGTCGAAGTGACGAGAAAATATATTTCTATTAGTCGTTACTTTCATTTTTCCAAGGGTACAAGTTTCGGCCGAATTCTAACTTATATAGCTCTATGAAAGAAGACTTGAATACCCTAGATGGTCCAAGTGAGATTTGTTCCCGAATCCTTACTCAAGTCACGAGTACCTATACCTAACTCTCGAGTGAAAATTTGGGCAGCATGCCCTTTGTGTTTACCTATTTTCCAGCCATTTATGGCTTCATTATTTTTTCTCAATTCAGCCCCAAAACACACACAAGCAATGTTATCAACATAGCCCTTCAATTAGGCTCCAAAATCAACTAGTTACAACACAAATCTAATAAAACAATCAGAAATCGGTTTTGAGAACAAAAAGTTAACAACAGATTTGACATCTTATAGCATTTTGGTCACAACTAGAGCTATGTTTATCGGATTGGGGTACACATTATACCGTTTGTTACAACTTTCAGGTTTTGACCTAAGCCTAATTTGGCCTCTAACATGGACGAATGAAGCTGGTTAGAAGCAGGGCAGTTCAATTTTTAAAGCTGGAAATTTTGATGAATTCAAGGTTTATATTCTCATTCATGTCTTAAACTACTATCCCAACTCCCTATCCAAGCTTATAGACATCATATGCTATCTAAACAACAAGAAATACAACTGAACGAGTCAAACCCTAACTCAAAAATCTACCATAACCATCAAAACTATGTAAATAACTATCATTAGCCAAGAATATGAGTTGCTGTACAAAATTAAACAAGATTAAGCGAGTGAAAATGAAAAACAGCCTTAACCTTGCCAAAGATGCTTTCAAGAGAAACCTCAACTCAGTCCCAAAGTCACACATAAGCAATCTTAACACAATAGCCTTTCAACTAGGCTCAGTGTCATCCACACACAAGGCAATTTTAGCATGTAAGCTTCACTTGGAAATTCGGAAATGGTGGCTAAAAGCTAAGTACAAGTCTTGACCGCTTTAATTAAGGTAACTTGTTAAGAGCGTAAAAGTTTGAGGAAAGGAGAGATACATTAGCGAGAGAAGTTCAATAGGGATACATTTGAAGTCAAGGAAGTGAAAAAATCAAGGTAAGAGATTGGAAGTAGGCCGTCCGAGGTTTTAAAGTCAAGAAGCCCGTTTCTATGCTTCAGGAATCTACTGAGATGAACAGTACAGTAAACTTTAAAAATTCATAACTCGAGTTCCACAAGTCGAAAAATTATGAAAGTTATACCGTTGTAAAATGGATTTTTAGTACTACCCCATCCCAGAAGACACTTTTTAGAGATTCAAATCGCAAATAGGCCAAATATTTGATCCAAGTCAAAAATTCATTTTCCTGAAGAAACAGGACAGCCTACTTTGAGGACTCACGGACAGCAGTACACATGGAGGAAAAATATGAAATTTGTACAGAACAAAGGTCCATGAGTCTAGTTTCAAATGCCGCTGACGGCACCTCAATCGGATTTTTCTACAACAAGATATAAGCATTTTACTGAGACTGGTCAGTGAAATCCGAAAATCTAGAAACTCATTTTTCACTTGTGAAAAACTCTTTTTTTTCTCTTTTAAAACCACAAGACTTTTATTCAAACCACCCATACACTTAAGTATGACATTCATACCAGCAATTCTAACATAATTTAAGCATCAAATTTTAACAAAAGCCAAAGAAATATACATATATTCCAAGTTTAAAGTCTTGTGAGATGTTTAGTCTAAGATTAAATCATTTTCTATCCAATATTCAAAGATTAAGGCAAATGAACTCTTCATTTGTTCCATTTAAGTTAAACCAGATTCTAAGTTGTTTGTAGTTTGGGTTTTGTTCCCCTACACCAGCTTTTTAAGTGTTAAAAACAATCAATAAGATGCACATGAAAACTAGGACAAGATGTTATAAGATGTTTTATACAAAATTTATAACCAATTGTCTTGGAAATTTCAAAATAACACAAGAACTCTACCTCCTAACTCCCTCGGCCAGCACACATGTTTCCAGCTACATTATCTCAGAATTTTCAACAAAGTTCTATCTTTCACTTGCTTAAAACACTAAACACTTAGTATATTTTCTGTCCAATCTAATCTAAAACAAACTTGCATACAATTCCAGCAGCAATTCCACCAATTAGCCTCAAATAATCCTGTCATCAGCAACATATAACCTTTAGCAAATGTTAACAGTGTAAGTATGAAACTGCCTTTCTCAAGTTTATGCATTCTCTCACTCCCAACTTAACATATAGGGGTTGTTGTTATGTTACAAGATAACTTAAGCAGCAGTATAGAATTTATAACCAGGGATTCGAAAAGAAAAGTTAGATAAAACTCTATTCCCTCTCTCCGCTAAAGCTGGAAAATTTCCAGTAACTTTCCTTTAGCAATTTCTAGCTCAACTTCCAACTTTTCACAAGTTTTCCCAGCTAAACCTCTTATAAACTTAAGATAAATATATTGCATGCATTTCTTAACATTATTCTCCAAAGAAATATTGATAACAAGTTGCAGATTTAGATTTTCACTCTCGGTTTCTGCAATTTTCCTTTCCTACAGCTTTTCTGGTGCTACACAGAATTTCCTTCAGCCAAGAGCTCATTTTCCCAGCTAAGTTCAACAAGCAGCTTGTATATATTCAATTATACTAAATAGGCAGGAAGTTATTGCAGAATCTTACCTCTTTTCCCCTAGAATTCGATAATTGCAGTCTGCCCTAATTCTCTGCTTCGGTTCCTCAAATTTCTTGCACTAGATTCTCGCTCCAGTTCTCCTTGCTTTACTCTCTCTCGGTTGTGGTTAGCAAGTGTTGAAGCTAGCAAAATTTCTTTCCCTCACTCCCACTTCTACTCTCAGTTTTGGGGTTGGAGAAAAGATAGCTTAGCTCTCGGTTGTTCCTCTTTTGCTCTTAGTAAATTGATACCAAATGGAATCCACCAAATTTTAATCCTTTGTTCAGTCTTATGCTTAGCCGAGAATGGTCAATTCGGTCGCATAGTTAATTGCTCAAGTGTTGAGGTTAAAATGGTCTTTTGAATTAATTTATTTACTTGCTAAGGAGTTGAAATTTTATCATCTTCAAATATTGCCTCAAACTTTAGTTTGTTCCAATTGCATACACCTATAAGAATTTCTCATGCCATCCTAGGATAGTTTCTAATATCAAAGTAAATAAAATGAAATAAATTCAAGGCATACATATAATTTTCTCGGGTTCTCACACTAAGACTCTTGTGGTCTGAGTAAATCTCAAAGGTCACCCCATTTAGGTAGTGCCTCCACTTTTTCAGCGCGAAAACAACTGCGGCTAGCTCTAGATCGTGGGTCGGGTAATTCTGCTCGTGGAGTTTCAACTTCCTAGAAGCAAAAGAGATCACATTAAGGTTCTACATTAAGACGCATCCCAGGCCTTCTCGCGACGCATCAGTATACACAGCAAATCCGTCTACTCCGTTAGGCAAGACTAGAACTGGAGCCATGGCCAATATTTTCTTTAACTCTTGAAAACTTGTCTCACATCGAGCATTCCATACGAACCGACCATGTTTCTTTGTCAGGTCGGTTAAAGGACCTGCTAATTTGGAGAAGTCTTTTATGAAACGTCGGTAATACCCAACCAGCCCTAGAAAACTGCGGATCTCTGTAGGGTTTTCTGGCCTCTTCCAATTGGTCACGGCCTCTACTTTCGCCGGGTCAACTGAGATGCCTTCTTGGGAAATTACGTGCCCCAGGAAAGAGATTTTCTCCAGCCAAAACTCGCACTTACTGAACTTGGCGTACAACTGATGCTCCCTTAGGGTCTGCAAAACAACTCTCAAATGCTGCTTATGCTCCTCGCGAGTTTTGGAGTAGACCAAGATGTCATCAATAAAAACAACGACAAATCGGTCCAAATAGGGCTTAAAAACCCTATGCATTAAGTCCATGAAGGCGGCAGGAACATTGGTCAGTCCAAAGGGCATAACTGCCAATTCGTAATGCCCATATCTCGAGTTGAAAGCGGTTTTTGGAATATCCTCTCTCCTAATCAACAACTGGTAATACCCCTGTCGGAGGTCCAGTTTTGAGAAGACCACTGCTCCTTGCAACTGGCCGAACAACTCATCAATGTGGGGCAGTGGATACTTATTCTTAACCGTGACGTTGTTCGGGCCCCGGTAGTCGATACATATCCTCAAACTACCGTCCTTTTTCTTTACAAACAGGATAGGAGCTCCCCAAGGAGACCCGCTCTCTTGAATGAATCTACGCTCCAGAAGATCTTGTAATTGCAACTTTAGCTCCTTGAGCTCTGCAGGGGCCATTCGGTATGGGGTTTTTGAGATAGGTGAGGTTCCAGGTAGCAGATCTATCTTAAATTCTATCTCTCTTTCCGGAGGTAGGGCTACTAACTCATCAGGGAATACGTCCGAAAATTCCCTTACAATGGCTACGTTCTGTATCTTTAACTTATTCGTGGGGGTATTGATTAGAAAGGCTAACAATCCTTGCGCCTCTCTACTTAGCAGTTTTCTAGCTCGAATGCCCGAAATCAAAGCAGATGAGGCTAACCTACCCCTTATGCCCAACCTTAAGATTGCTTCACTAGGGATGCGGAATTCTACCACTTTCGTTTTACAATGCAGTTGGGCATTATACCTGGCTAGCCAGTTCATATCTAAAACCACATCATACCCCATAATGGATAGACTTATCAAATCTCCTAACAATCTCTTTTCTCCTACCCACACTTCACAATCCCTATAAACCATACTAGTAACCAAATGTTGATTCCCCGTAGGTGTACTAACTTCTAGGTCGTATGGTAAACTAGCAGGTTTTATATCGATGCTACACATGAAATCAGGGTTAACAAAGGAATGAGTGGCACCAGGATCTATTAAAACTTTGGCAAAACGGTGGAAGATAGGGATAGTACCTTCTACGACCTCTGAGGAATCTGGGACCTGTTGGGGTTCTAACGAATACACTCGAGCTGGCATCTTAGGTTTGGACCCATCCCCCTTAGCTGGTCCAGCATTGGTCCTCGGCGGTGGTTGGCTCCCTTTCCATCTTGTTTTAGGACCGGGCAAGTGGCCAACTGGTGGTCTGCGCTTCCGCAATGCAGACATTTGTCCTCCTTCTTCCAGCAGTTATCCTTGGAGTGATTCGGCTTCCCGCAGTATCCACAAGGCCTACGGAACGCCGAACCTGAACCCTTCTGGAAGTTTCCGCCTTGGCCTCTCCCGGCTGAGCCACCCCTGGACTGAGCCCCTCTGCCGAAACCTGACTGTCGTCCACCTTCTATTCCTCGTCCAAACTTGGAGGGGGTACCTTTATCCCCTTGTCCCAAACTGCTTCCAGGAAAGCAGCGCTTCTTTGCTTGGAAGTTCCTTACTTGCCACCTAGCACTCTCAACCCGTTGGGCCTTCTCCACGACCTCGCTAAAAGCATTGATTTGAGCCACTGTGAGGTCCTTCTGGATTTCGACATTCAAGCCCTGGATAAAACACCTGATCCGTCGTTGCTCGGTCATGATCAGCTCAGGAGCAAATTTGGATAGGCGGGTAAATTGGCTCTCGTACTCCGCCACAGACTGAGCCCCTTGGCGGAGTCGGATAAACTCATCTTCCTTCCTCTCCTGAACTAGAGGAGGGAAGAATTTCGCGTTGAATTCTCTCATAAAATTTACCCAAGTCCTGGGCGTTTGTTCCCGTTCCCATTTTTGCCGAATGACATTCCACCAGGAACCGGCCGTTCTTCGGTGTAGTGCAGGGCAACGAAAATGTCTACCATTTTCTCGAGCCACCTTTCGGCGACACCCAACGAATTTCGGTGGGGCAAACTTCTGGAATCTTTCAAGTGCCCTATCGTCGCTCTCGACGTGATTGCCAGGGTTTCCAGGGTTAGGATTAGGGTTCTGACCCTGTTGCTGCACCACTTGTGCCAGCAGGTTGGTCATTTGCTGCATAGCGGCAGCTATTTGTACATTGAGGTCAACCCTCGGTTCAGGATTAGGTCCAGAGGAGGTTTCCCACCACCCCTGTCCGACGTGGGTTGCCTACTCCCGCGCCCATGTCCCCGTCCACTACGCGTACCTTCCGTGAAATCTACTTGATCTAGGCAAACGTACTAGAACATACAATAAGAATACGTGTAAGTAAAATCCCAAAAGCTTTGACAATAACATATATATACATTCCAAACAAAGTCAAACAACACACATATGAACAGCCAGTCAAGTCAAGTACAAACATAGACAATCCACGAGAAAATGGCCTCATCAAAAAAAATATACATGTAGCTAATCCAAATGTACAAAATGACTAGCTAAGGCTCTTTTCCCTTATCCGCCCTATATACAGAAAACAAAACCATCCAAAAGGCCCTAAAGACCCTAAGAGTCATAACCTAGTCCGTCGTCGGGCTAGTAGACCCACCCAACAGGGTGGATTCAACCCCAGTCTTGGGCCCCGCACACGAGGCCTCGTTGCTCTCGTCATCGAGCAAATCATCACAGAGGTGCAGAATTGACTCGGCTCGAACCCTAACCTTTCGAGCTCGAGTAGTCGAACGCTCACGTGCCTCCCTAAGTTGAGCGCAGAGGTCGTCCACTCTATCTTCACACTCGATCACATCGTACTCCAGATCCTTAATTCGCTTGGCTTGTTTCTCGTTGGCCGCCCTCAACTGATTCACGTCGGCCTCAAGCCTAGCATTATCTTTGGCCAACTCCTTCCGTTCCTCGGTCACAGCCAACACCAAGGTGTTAGGGTAGGCGTACGTGTGACGACACTCGCAACGTCGGAGGCGGTTAGCCGGGCTCTAACGAACGACGGCCCCTTTTGGCCGGATCTGGTACAGAATCACCGGAAGCACCCCATGCGGTCGCTCCCCAGTAGGGCTACCACTAGGCCCGCTATGCCCGTCCATCCTACACCAAAAGGGTAAATAAATGTAAATAACCTTAAGGGACATAAGCAAAATAATCCTCAAGTCGAGCATTTCTAACACGCCCAGGCCAATTCAAACCTAGGTTCTGATACCACCTGTGACAGCCACATCTTCTCCTAAGGCGAACCAAAGGGGTTAGCGGACTGCCTGCCTAGCTCTCGCCAGGACTAACAGGACAGTTTAAAGCGATCTAAAACATTCCGGAACATACAATCGCGCTTAAACAAGTCAAAATTACAAATAAAAAAAATGAAAATCGGAGCCGGCCATGAACAGTAACCGACACGTCAGAATCCGGCCGGATGCTAGCCGGAGAGCAAGGCCGGATTTCCCAAAAATCCCAGGGCAATCCGGCCGCTAATCCGGCCAATTTCTGGCCGGATTCGACCCTGTTTTTTTTCCGCCAAATTTTTTTCTTTCACCGTTTGAAATCCGAACCTGTCCAAAATCCAACCAAACATCAATCAAACCCATACCACTTGAAATTTAGCATTTACATACCAAAATAGCATACAAAAGTTTTCAATCCCAATTACACATGTACGGTTTCAATCTTACAATTCAAAAGAGGGAACGGTCAAAATACATCTAGGTTTCATTCTTCGAGGAGCTATGCAAAATGTATTCACAACTAGCTCAACTCGGCAACCAACTATCAAAGCCATTCCAAAAGTATTCAAATTCCTGTAAGGAAAACAAAAGGAATTGGGTAAGCTTACGCCCAGTGAGATACTATCACTCAAACAGCAAAATTCATATAAGCATAAAGCTTTTCATTCCAATACATCAAAAGTAAGCCAAGCACACATCAATAGAGTTGATAAAAGGATACGGACGGCTCTCAAGAGCCCCTTTCCTCGATTGCAATCTTGATCGGATTTCATTGACCCTCCGTCAATGATTAAGAGTAACCAACCGTAGGCTC